GGCTGGAGATCAAAGAGTGGCTCAGGGACAAGAGGGATCCTGCGAATCTTCTTGCACCCAGACTGTTGACGTCTTCATTGCAGAGGCCAGCATTCACTGTGATTTTTGCCTGTTTACACCTGCTCCTGTGTGGGAGGAGGAGGGACCACTTGCACTCAACCCATGCTCACTACACCACCAGCAATAGGGCTGCACCTCCCCATGCACAAGCAGTGGCTCTTTCCCTCAGTGTTGGGGCTGGGGTGATGCTGCTGGGGAGTCATGGCCTGCCATTGACCACAGTGCTGCAATGGGCACTGCTGAGGCCACAGTGGGGGCCAGGGACTCGAGGCTGGAGGCAGGCTGGGAGGTGGTAGGGTGCAACCAGAGGGTCCGGCCAGGGTCCTCACCTCCAGACTGGCTGGCAGGCCTCTCACAGTAGCTTTGGACAAGGAATAGCACCTTTCAAAAACACTCCTGAAACCAGGACGACTCCACAGAGAAATGTCTTGTATTGAAACTGCTTGGACTCTGCTGAGAGCTGCACCGTTCCAGACTATTTTCTCTCTTCTTTTTACTGAAGCCTGACATGATTGACCTTCAGAAGTTCATGCAGACCCTCTCCAAGCACATATGGGTTATTGTCTCACTTAGCCCAGCTGGCCCCATGTCTTGCCATGCTGCAGCCCTGCCAGGGTTAACTGTGAGGCCTCAAGGACGATGCTGCATGTTCTGCCTAGCAACAACCCTGAAGTTGACGCAACCAGAGCTCTACCCATAATACTGCACACAGCAGTGGGGTTCAGGGGAGGGCACAGTGGAAGCCTGCTGCCAAGAGGGGAAAAAAAATGCGGCTCTGGAGACATAAGTAGACCCACTTACATAAGGCTGAGGACCTGGGCAGAAGCAGGGCGAGGACAGTGGCGTACAACGGGGTCAGTGGTTTCTCCTGCTATTGCTATGCCTTTCTCCTCTCTCTGCATGACTCCAGTCCTTCTCTGGATGCACTCACATGGGGTCTGCAGCCCCCCACCACCTTGTGGTGCACAGAGCCTCCCGGGGCTGAAGCATGAGCTCACAGCTCAGCACTTCATATTCTACAACTATGGCCAAGACACCCCTTGTATTGTGCTGTGAAAGAGGTGGCCATACCCTGCAGGATGCATTTCTGCCAGCAAGGCTGCTGGCTGTCTTGACTGTCAGGACTTCTGTACCCCACTAGTCCTGACTAGCCTCCCCCCTGCAGTTTGCTCCTCTACGTCAGTGGCTCTCCCCCACAGGTATCTTGTTGCATATCTCTTCAGCTCCTTCTTTCTTGTGTAGCTTGAGCAATTTTTGTCTCTTCCTAGGGGAAGGAGAAACTGGTGATGGCTTCAATGCTTTTTAGTACTGCCTTGCTCTGATACCGGGATGGCCCAGAGTCCCGTTTCTCTGAACAGAGGCCAAGCCAGCAAGAGCAAGCAGTTCCCTCTTCCAGTACCAGCCACAGTTACAAAGCAGGACTGACAAATGGCTGCTTGAGTGGAGCACAGGCTCAGGCGTCACTGAACTGACAAACCTGTGTCTCTGTCACGCTGCAGGTAGGACATGCACCAGTAAAGTTTTGCCCATATGCCCTGCACCCCCATTCAGGGTGTGCTGCTACAGGGACAGACATCCAACTGATACTCTGCACAAAAATCCACCAAGGTCAATAGCAAATAACTTTACTAGTTACTGCCTCACATTTTGCTTTTATTTTCAGCAGTTTCCGTCTGCTCCTTTCTGACACTGGTACAGCCCCAACCAGTTCAGGGCTGGTATCCACAAATATGCGTGTGACCTAATCCCTGTTTGGTCTCTGCATTTCCAGTTGAATCAGCTTTTAATAACCAAATATGTGATTTTTTTTTTCCTTTTTCTTTTTTAATCAATTTATTGTTAATCTCTCATTTAGATGAGCAAACAGCCATGAAGCCTCCTTGGGTCTCATTAATTTTGTGACTGTTTATGGATTCCCACAGCATACTTATCTCTATAACACTGCAGCAGGTCTGAAATGCAAGGGACAAACCTTGTCTGTTACAGGTCAGGTCACATGGGCACTCTGAAAATGCACATCTTCACAGTTAAATCTGCCTGGTGGTGTGGACGGGACTGCTGTGCCAAACCTACATATATCTGTATGAGTCTCTGATGAAACTGCAATGATGGTTGTGCCTCCAGCAATCTTCATTGCCCAGCATTCACTTGAAATCGAGCATAGCACCTCTTATCTCTTTGCACAATCAGAGCAGAAAGCTCAAAAAAAAGCCCCCAGCTAGATTCTACAAAGCCGTGCAAACATTGTGTTTAAGAGCCAGGAAGATGACACAACCCACAGAAGAGGGACTCAAAGCCAGTAACCAAGTGACTCAAAAATATACAGTAGCTACTTTATCTATCTGCCTGTACTTAGGATCAATTTTGATTTGATCTCAGAAATGAAAACAGGAAAGACATTAAAAGGCAAATTGCAGAGTCTAGCTAGAGAAGCCTCATTCTGGAAAAGTAGCCTGTGTACAGCAAGCAGTTTGCGGGGTGCTCTTGCCAGCTATGTGAGCTGGGCTTTGGAAAGGGGAGCACTGGCACCTGGGGCCTGTCTGATCTCTGCACTTCTTTTGAAAGTGCAACAAGGTGGTTCACACCGTGCATGAATGCAGGGCGTTGCAGTAGGGACAGTGATACTCTGGTATCACTGAGGCTCCTGGTAGAGCTCTCTTCTGCAGGCCCTGGGCCAGGCTGAAAACAGCTGCTTTAATACACCTGCCTTAATGAGTCCTACCTCCTACAGTTGCAATTTCCCTCCGTCAGGGAAACTAGGGAATGTAAAAACCAAATGCTTTCATGACCATGGCATCCTGTGGGCCTCCCACAATCCCAGTGTCTGCAAATGCAGTGCTGCAACTTGATACCAGCTGTGCTGGGCAATCCAGATTGCTCTTCCCAGCCACGGACCGTTGCAGCACTGGGGAGGGGAAGGAGTCCAGCAGCTATCAGGGCCCTTGCACGCTCAGCCTGGGCACCAAGTCCCTTGTAGGCATGCTGAGAGACACAGAGTGCACTCCAGGTTCATGGAGAGTTGGAAGCACTGGTGAGCTACAGGCCCAACAGCCACAATGAAAGACTTGCAAGCCCTGTTACAGATGCTGAGAGGAATGCTCCACAAAGTGTGAGTGTTAGTGGCTCCTGGGTACAGGCACAGTGAAGAGAAACACCTTGTCCAGCCTTGTGTTTTGCTTACATCCAGGTAAACATTATGTAAGTGCATACCCTGTGTTTGAGTTAGGACTTCAGAGACTTGAGCTTTTGCACGCTTTGTTGTGGCAGCTGCCCCCTTGATGGCCTTGAAGCCACAGGGACAGTGACCAGCCAATGGGGATGGGATGGAAAGGGGCACAGTGGCTTTGTGGGGCAAGGCAACACCATGAGCTTGCAGTGCGTGGGGTGGGCAGCACCAGGCACCCCCTTCTCTCAGAGCACAGACAAACCAGCCCCACTCATGACTGAATTTGAACCCCTGTGATGGAAAGCCACCATCTGCCCAACCAATCTGCTCCAGCAGCAGCTGCTCCTCTCCTTACAAAGTGGTGGACTCCGTGTCTGTGGAATAAGTATTGTGTTCTTTTGGGAGTGCCTAAATCATATCCTTTTTGCTTCAAGCTAAGCTCGCTGCTTGCTGACCAAGCCAACAGCAGATAGGGAGAACAAAATATTCCCCTCCTCTTGACAGCAGTTTTTTTACAAGTTTGCAAGTTGTTAAGAGATCTCCCTATTAACAAGTGTGCAAGTTGTTAACAGACACCTGTTGTGTCAAATGAGAAGACTGAGATCAATCTTTTTCTCACAGGTTGTATTTCTAGAGCTTTCTTTTGTTTTCCTCTGGATCCCCTCCAGCTGATGTACTTGTCTCTGGAAACACAGTGTGCAAGACTGAAGGCCTAACCAGTGCTGAAGCACGGGGCAGAAGAATTTCTTCACGTGTCCTACATGTGACATTCCTGTTTATACACCCTAGCAATGTTAGTTTTTTTCGCAACAGGATGACATTGTGGACTTGAGTTCAGTTTATCATTCACAATAACCTCCAGTTCTTTTCTGCAGCACTGCTGCATCATCATCATGCTGCGCTCATTGTTCCCGTGACTATTTATTTATGTGGGACAGTCAATAAATTTGGCTGTAGTGTTCAGCAGTGATTGTGCTGCAGCTCCCAGCTGCCTCACACTGGAGGAATATGAGGCAGTTCATGACTTGCTCCTTCCACTTCGCCCTCCAAGTTCCCAGGGAGGGCACTGAACCAGGTCAGAGCTCTTGGCCCATGGCAAGCCAGGCCAGGCCCTTCCCTCCCCTTAGTGCAGCAATGACATCAGGAGCAGCCAGAAACATAAGAGCCAAAAATAAAAACAATTAAAGAGAAGCCAAAGCAGAGGTGAAGATTAATATCGGTGTCCTCAGCTTCCTGTTGCTGTCTTCTGCTGACTGCTACTTGTGGCAGTGAGAATAGGAATCAAGAAGATGACGCTGACCAAGCTCAGCTGTGGTACTTTGAGCAGGAGTGATGCAAAGCATTTTTTTAACAATTCTCGATATAGCAACAGAAATGGAGTAAGATCAACTCAGTTCTACAATGACCTGAAGTTTGTACCTCACTTGTTGGCAGCAAACACTCTAGTAAAACACTGAATGCATCACCAAATCAACAGAGCAGTGCTTCCCAGCTCTCTCTTTGAACAAGTAATTCCAGCACATCACAAATTCCAAAGAAAGCTTCAGGTCAGGTTGTTGGATGACCAGCAGCAACACTCTGTGTAAGAAACACTTATTTCATCCCTTCTTGTGACCCACAGTTATTCAGCTTAGTTGTTCGTGTCCCTCTCATGGCAGTTAGAAGCTCTGCTACGCAAAATGGCACTGCCCGTGATCCTAGAAGTATACAAAGGGTTGCTAGAGCTTTTGAGCTCATCCTATGCGTGGCAGCAAGGAGGCCTGGGTTCCGACACATGAACATGAGTGATGCAACGTATGTACACCAAAAGGTGCATGCAACAGCCTCACTGCTGAGCATCTGCACTTTCTCCAGAGCCCTCATCCTAAGCTCCCTATGGTGTCCTCATTTCCTATGTCATCATCATCATCCAGCACCTGTCCCCTCTGAACTGGGTGTTGAACAAAGAATTCTTTTGTTTTGCTTCTCTTTCCCAAACTAAGTAAATTTTAAGATGAGTTTTCAGATCTCCTGTCCTTCATAGAGTCAGGCAAAATGTTGAGGAGAGTGTTTTCCTACAGTGCTGAGGTGCAGAAGTCCTGCAGTTTATAGGCTTTTCATGGTATCAATCTGTTAGGGTTGTTGCTGTTGTTGCTCGTGCAAGGACAGAAAGGTGAAGAAATTGTTCTGTTGCTGCCAATCTTACAGATGGAGGAAATGTGTTTCTGCATCTTAGTGACAAATTTGGACCTCTTGGGGCACATATTCAGACAATGTCTGAGACCTCATGGTGTAACCCTGTTTCCCTAAAAGTCTGTTTTCCTGAAATGCAACTAAAGTATTTCTCTGCAATGCTAAATCTTTTCCAGGCAGCATTTGGTCAAACTCCTGGATAAAAGCATTCACTCTGGCTGTGGAGTTTTCTACTCTTCCCTCTGTGTTTCTGAATTGTTCGGTGTTTATTTTTTTCCCATGACACACAGCCTTTCCTGAAGCAGCTCTGCCCTTACCAGCCCTGGGAAATGCTTCTTACATTTGTGCATGGGTGAGATCTTAGGCGCTTGCCTTCACTCCAGCAACCACGAATAAACAAAGGAACAATTCATTGCCTCCTTTGCTGGAAGGTGATGGTTGTGCTCAGCAGCCTCCTGGGATGGGATGGCAGCCAGTCCCACTGGGCAGCAGGACATTATTGTACACGGAAATGGGGCAGCTGATAAAAAGGTCACATCATATTGTCTGAAGTGGCCTCCAGCAAACAGACACAGAAGAGGTCTATTTGATTCTGTATGGATAAATATAAGGTAACGCATCTAAAGAAAACTACCTGAACGTGACCTGCAGAGTGCTGAACTGGAACCTGGCAGTCGCACTGCAGGACAGATCCCAAGGTGTTGATGACGGTCCTCTGGAGACACAGGCTCCGCATGCCTGGGCAGCTGGAGAAGAAACAAAACGCAATGTGTTGCCAGGAGAAGCAGAGGACAAGGCAGAGGCAGTCATTCTGCTGTGATACAAACCCCTGGTGCACTCGTGTCTCGAGTGCTGCATAGAGTCTAGTCACCACATCACACGATGGATTTAGGGGAGTTAGGGAAGGTCCAGAGAAGGGCAGCTGATACAACAAAGGGAATGGTGCCACTACTGTGTCAGGAGAGACTGAAAAGGCTGGGACTTGGGTTTGAGAAGGGAACAGAGGGACAGGAGGAGCTGAATGCAGAACACTTTCACCAAAACCCACAGCACAGGAAAAAGCGGCTCTTGGGAAGACTAGTCGGTGCTCCGTGTCCAGTCGGTGCAAACAAGCACTTGCTGTATGGCAGCTGGGGAACTCCCGCACCCTGTCGCCACCAGGCGTCGTGGGCCGAAGGGAGCGGCCCGCCACCTGCCCTCCGAACACCTCCCTCGGGCGGGGCAGGGCCCGGCCACGGCCGGCGCCGTTCACCGCCCTTGGGAGGAGCCCGCCAGGGCTGAGGCGAGCCCCGGGCGGAGGGGACGGAGGTCGCACCAGCCCGCGGTGCGACCGCACGCCGCGCCGGCACTAGCTCCGCGTCGAACGCCCCGCGGCCCG